CTGTTAGTAACACTGACTTCCTGTGCTCTGCAACTACTACTACTGAACAGTGGCAGCAGAAGAAAACACCTGAAATCTGAAAAAAGAAACCTAGAGGCTATCAGTGTCTGCAAAGATGGATTGCTGCCACGTCACTGGTTTCCAGGACAACTGACTCGCTGCCGCAGTTGTCCTGGAAACCAGTGACGTGGCTGCAATCCATCTTTACAGACAGACGAATGTCATCCGAAATGTTATTGATTTTAACATTCGGTTTTGGAATGAATGGAGTTTCGCAAACGAAAATCACATCCACTGTTAGAATATTGTTCATTTGAGAAATATTTTCCACCCCGCTCCTTCGATTTACGTCACCGCTGCGGTGGAAATCGATCGTCGATTTGACCTCATTACTATTAGAAAATCAAACAAACTTCCGAAAATGATTTTTTTTTCCCCAAACGAAGTTCTACTGGGGTGTGGTCGCCTTTACAAGAGGACGTCATTCATCTTTATTTGTGATTGCGCAATCGATCGGTGACTTCTGAGTTCTGTAATAATAACCATTAGAGGAGATCAGATTGGTGGTTCTTATTATTAAATAGGACACATTGTATCAGTGGTGAAGATTCATGGAATCTCGGTTATCATTGGCTAGATTGGTTATTGTTTTCTTCCTAAAATGAATAAACTAAATAACGTTTATGTGTCATTGTGTGACTCAGTGTCTCTTTACACCTGAAGGCTACAGACATTGCTGAGCTGAGGTTATAGAAACAAATATACATATAAACCTGAAATTATCTTTTTTCATTCATCTTCTTCTAAGTCTGAACCTTGCTCCCCTCTGCGTCTCCGGATCTCCCTCCTTTTGTCCTCTCTTCCTTCCTTGCCCTCCCTCTCTTCCCTCTTTGTCGTCCCTCTATTCCCTCCTTCTGTCCTCTCTTCCCTCCTTCTGTCCTCTCTTTCCTCCTTCTGTCTTCCATCCTTTTGTCCTCTCTTTCCTCCCAGTCCTCCCTCTCCTTTTGTCCTTGGTTACAGCTGTGTTGTGTATTGCGGAGCCACTCCCAGGCTGCCTCCACCTCCCTCCTGTTACTAAGGACTCTGCTGTCACAGCCTCCTATATATAAGGAGGAGAGGAGAGAGAGGAGACAGTGACTGCTCCTTCCCGAACACCTAACGTATCAGGATCCGGAGAGCTCCATTTTATTCAGCATCATGGTGAGTGTGTGGCTGCATCTGCCATTATCCCTGTGTGTGACCGCACCCTGCAATTCTGTACATCCCTGTGTGTGACCGCACCCTGCAATTCTGTACATCCCTGTGTGTGACCGCACCCTGCAATTCTGTACATCCCTGTGTGTAATTACCTTCTGAATGTCTATACATCCCTGTGTGTAACCACATTCTGCAATGTACATCCCTGTGTGTAACCACATTCTGCAATGTACATCCCTGTGTGTAACCACATTCTGCAATGTACATCCCTGTGTGTAACCACATTCTGCAATGTACATCCCTGTGTGTAACCACATTCTGCAATGTACATCCCTGTGTGTGACCACATTCTGAATGTCTATACATCCCTGTGTGTGATCAAACCCTGCAATGCTGTACATCCCTGTGTGTAACTACCTTCTGAATGTCTATACATCCCTGTGTGTGATCACACCCTGCAATTCTGCACATCCCTGTGTGTGATCACACCCTGCAATGCTGTACATCCCTGCGTGTGACCGCACCCTGCAATGCTGTACATCCCTTTGTGTGATCACATTCTGCAATGTACATCTCTGCGTGTGATCACATTCTGCAATGTACATCCGTGTGTGTGTGTGATCACATTCTGCAATGTACATCCCTTTGTGTGATCACATTCTGCAATGTACATCTCTGCGTGTGATCACATTCTGCAATGTACATCCGTGTGTGTGTGTGATCACATTCTGCAATGTACATCCCTTTGTGTGATCACATTCTGCAATGTACATCTCTGCGTGTGATCACATTCTGCAATGTACATCCGTGTGTGTGTGTGATCACATTCTGCAATGTACATCCCTTTGTGTGATCACATTCTGCAATGTACATCTCTGCGTGTGATCACATTCTGCAATGTACATCCGTGTGTGTGTGATCACATTCTGCAATGTATATCCCTGCGTGTGATCACATTCTGCAATGTACATCCCTGTGTGTAACCACATTCTGCGATTCTATAAATGCCTGCGTGTGACCGCACCCTGCTGCTCTTTACATTCCGATATATCACGGCACCCTACCAGTCCATACATCCCAATGTGTGACCACACTCTGCCTGTCTGTGCATCCCTGTGTGTGACCAGGGCCGGGTTTACTCTCTCTGCCGCCCCAAGGCCAGGTTCAGCATGTCCCGGGCATCGGGAGATAGGAATTCCACGCCTCTGCTGCCCCAATGCCGGGCCTTGGGTGGCCTTGTGGGAAATCCAGCCCTGTTTGTGACTGCATTCTGCCTGTATATGCATCCCTGTGTGTGACTGCACTTTGCCTGTCTATGCATCACTGTGTGTGACCGCACTCTGCCTGTCTATGCACTGTGTGTGACCGCACTTTGCCTGTCTATGCATCCCTGTGTATGACTGCACTTTGCCTGTCTATGCATCCCTGTGTATGACCGCACTTTCCAATTCCAAATGCCTGTGTGTGACTGATCAATTTACCGATCTTTACATTCCTCTATATCGCTGCACTCTACCAGTCTATACATCCTGAAACTGTGTGTGACCGCACTCTGTGATTCTATATATCCTGACACTGTGTGTGACTGCACTCTGTCCTACCCTCATACTAAATGCATATACCATTTCTCCCCACACAGAGGGAATGCATCTCAGTCCACGTTGGCCAGGCCGGAGTGCAGATCGGCAATGCCTGCTGGGAGTTGTACTGCCTGGAACACGGCATCCAGCCGGACGGACAGATGCCCAGTGACAAAACCATCGGAGGAGGAGACGATTCCTTCAACACCTTCTTCAGTGA